CAGTGAAGAATTGTGATTTCGGATAAATGACAGTTTTCTTCTTTCTTTCAATGTTCACACAAAGACCATCGTCGAAGTACAATGGGTACAAACAATATAAATCCAAAGAAAGATGTAGTATCGTCGCGCTACCATGGAATATACTGTATGCAAGATATTGATCGAAACCAGAGAATATTCATGTTTTGAAAGTGACAATAGGCTGGTTTTAATATCGTGTGACATTGAGTAAGCCCCTTAACAATCTTCTGAAATACCTGCCCCCCCAGGGCCACGAAACATTTCTCAAGCTCAGCTCAGTTTTACTCAAATTCATAATAGGTTACCCCTCTAAAAGGGTAAAATTTGAAGAAACATTGTGCACTTCGAAATACATCGGTTAATTTTTTTCTTGAAACAACTAGTTATTCACCTGTAATAGCTGCTTCAAATTTGAGTAAAATCTCAGCTTTATAAGTATGGAAAAAGTTTTGTGGCCCCCGGGGTCTGATGTCACTTTGGACTGGGTTATTGAACATTGACGCCCTTTCTAACAGCCTTCTAGGCCAAAAACTGATGTTCTGTTATTTTATTCTGATGTCGTGAGAGAATCTTAGTTGATATTGAATACCTCTTAATCGGTTAAACTTTAAAATATTCTCTTCGATTCAATATTAAAGCTATCTAACAGTGCGAATCAGAGAGCACTCGTAATATCGAACAATTCTATTTCACAGTGTGAATTCTTTTCAATTCGCCATATTGTCATTCCCAAACTAAACAGTGCTATCTATCATCAAACACTAGGACTTTCAACTCATCAATACCATCCCAATATATTCTTCGTTTACATTACTAAATACAGAATCCACCTTTTGTACGATTTCACCAAAATATTTGCCCAGAGCTACGAGACTATTCTTGTCATCGAAGTAAATATTATCGTTAATAGCAATCCGTTTACTTTCAATGATAATCAATGTCAGCCTTCAGGCAATCACAAGTTTTTGCCGATATTTCTTTCCGGAATATTAAAAGCTTGGAATGTGTTTTTGCCAAAACGAAAGTTGCAGGACAATTGTATGATTTGAGTGGTGCTAACGGCACTTCAAAATATCCATTCGAGAGTGATGCAAGACCAAACTTATCAAGACCAAACTTATCAAGACCAAACTTATCAAGAACTTGTAAGAACATCATTTATGAGGAAGAAAACGAGTATATGTCACCTCATTGGACTGATGAAAACAGAAACAGCGTCGTAGAATAGAACTATCGTTCTTGCTTGATCTATATTCATCACTAGCATTACTTTCTGACAAATGTCAGGGGTCTTCTAACTCGTAATATCGTTAATAGAAATAGTCGTAGGGAGAAATCTTCGTTCAGTTCAAAATAATCATCATTCATGAGACAAAACATGTTATCTATTCCACAACACCGTTATTGTTGATTCATGTTTACCTCTTTTGGTCTTCTGGCGGTGGCTCAGTGAGTTAGACACTTGCTCGCTAACCTGAAGGTCCAGGATTCAATCTCGGCATATACCAATATACCTTCAGTCCGGTTCCCCATTGTAACTCGGTGAGTTAGACGTTTGCTCGCTAACCTGAAGGTCCAGGATTAAGTCCCGGCATATACCAATATACCTTCAGTCCGGTTCCCCATTGTAACTCGGTGAGTTAGACGTTTGCTCGCTAACCTGAAGGTCCAGGATTCAATCTCGGCATATACCAATATACCTTCAGTCCGGTTCCCCATTGTAACTCGGTGAGTTAGACGTTTGCTCGCTAACCTGAAGGTCCAGGATTAAGTTCCGGCATTGGTCGAGTTTATACCTTGCAAATTGTCCAGTCGTTCAGTTTATAGCCAAAGCTTTAATGATATTATCGATTACAAACGAATAAATCGCCTGATTGGGTATTAGTGAATAATTCTATCAGTGGACGCGGCTCGATGATTCTGGAGTTTTTCCTTCCTGGTAATTTATAAACAAGATTAATACATTACTCAATTTGATTGAGATTGATGAGAAATCGAAGGTAAAGGGATACATTCCTCCAAATATGATCTCTAACACTCGACAAAACATAAACGAGTAGAAACATAAGATGACAACGGAGTATCCTTAAATCATTTCTGCAGATTTGTCAAGGTTGCTAGGCATTTAAATACTGAAGATATCAAACTTTTAGGTGGATCAAACAGAACCGCAAAATGCAATTTTTTCAAACAATTTTAGGGCGGCGGTGTCAAACTAGTGGAGACATGATATATATTTGAACGATTATGGCATTGTGCAGAATCAGGGAAAATAAATAATGTTTATTTCCTTTTAATTGACGTTTCAATCTTTAAAAAAAACCCAGTTCCCTTGGCCTACAAACTGACCCAAAACTATATCTACAATACGGGTAAAATTCGACTACAATATCCCTTTATAAGAATAATGTCGCTAAACGTTAAAAGTTACTGATAATCTAATAATCGTGAACAAGAATTCAGTGAAGGATAACACTGTCGTTATGTAACTTGTTTTGTTATGTAATCATCTTTAACATTCTTAGGTTGAAAAGCGTCTAGTCGTTCTGATGAAACAATAAACCGAGGCCGAGTGTGCTACAGGTCGTACACGTTTAAGATCCCTCGACAGTTGGAAATCGAAAAACAGTTTAAGCAGGTTAATACCCCTGTCCTGGCAAAATTTTCATCATTGCACACTGCGTTGCCTGCCTTCATTAGCCCACATGGTGCAGAAAAGTAGGACGTAAAACTCGATTCATTTCATTTTTTTATATGAAATTCATGGGAATGTCATGAGTTATTAAACCCAACAATTGATAATACATGTATAGTAATGTGTAATGTTATTTCCTGAAATATACGTATAGGGTTGACTCTGGAGTCCAACAATTCTCGACAGTTTCCATAAGGCAGAATCTGTCTCGATGATGAATGGTAGATTTCGTTGAGTAGCTTGCGTCTGTATTTGATGCCCCGTCAGAATGACTAGACGTTTCCAAGCCATAAAATTAATTTCAAACAGAGGGCCAATAGATCATAAAGATTTCATATAACCTAGTCCTAGACGGTGCTTGTAATCATCTCTAATGAAATTCAACAAAACTCTTTGTGTTTTTTAATGAAAAACAAGTATTCGAGACGGAGAGCTATTAAAAATGATATGTAAATGATAGTGCTTATATCGGAACGTCAATTACATAGCGTTCGGGTTTAGATTACATAGTGGTTTCTTACAAACCAGAAATCGAATTGAAATGTTATGAAACGAAACATGAAAACTAGAATTAATTTCCCGTTGATAAAGTTGAAAATGTTGAAAGTGCAGCAAGAACTGTGATCTCGCGTATTGTTTTTATTGATCTATTGGAGAAAGTGACAAGTGTATTTCAACATTAAGACTGAAGTGTATATTTAGTGAACAAGCAAACTGAAAAAGGGCAATGATTTAATCGCTATAAAAACGGAAATTCTCAAGGTTTTAATGACGTCATGAAAGGTAAGATTACAAAATTTCAACAGTTTTTGAAATTTTCAGCTATTTCATGATTGTTGTTAAATTGGTGAGTTAAATTTAAGAAAATTACCAGCATAATGGCTTGGTGCAGAATAGTAGGACGTAAAACTCCATTATTCACTGAGGTGTGTGTTACCTTTAGTTGAAGATTTATCAGGGACGTAGATAAAGTGTCCAGTAAAACATCCCCGTAGCTACAGGAGGCATCGACCTCTCCTCCCCCACCCCCCGAAAAAATGGTTAACCCCTTGACGATCAATTCTGGCCACTGATCGTTTTTAAACCATTAAAATATTGAGCTATGATATCGACTTCGGTAAAAGAGCAAGCTGGATTCTGGATTGAACATACCCCGCCCGTATTACCCTACCCTCTCTCTCGTCTTATCGTAGTTTTTAATAAAGTAATTATTTTCAGCCATAGATCATGAAAAAGTTAATATAAAGAACGTAGACAGTTGTATATAAAACAAACACCATGCAATCTAAAGTCAGAAATGAATAATAAAACACTTCACTGGAATATTATTCAGTCTAATTAACCTGTGTCTGGATGACCTAGTCTTAAAGGTCAGTTTATCTATAGATCATTCTTGATAACCTCGACTATATCTATTGATCGAGATTATATTGCACCTTTTCCCGCCAATAAAAACCAGAAATTTGCATATCGATGAAAGGATCCATGCATAATGCATGAAGACTTCCTATCGTAGATTAGAAGCACGTTAAGACACTATTTCAGTTTCCGACGTCTAATATGAAAATAAATAATTGTCAAAATAGTTGAGTATTTTTCCCTGTCATAAAATTGTGTAATGGACCAGTAAGTACAGATAGTAAAGAAATAGATCTTAGATTAATTACACACATAAAGCGATGTTAGAAGTGTTTTTCCATCCGCATCTTCGGAAAATTAATAGTCTGTCATAATAGTTAAACATAGTCGAACCTAAAAACATTCCCGTAGTTACAGGGTGGGGGTGGGGGGCAATGCTCCTCCAAAAAAGGATTGTCGCCCTGAAAAAATTTGACAACTAACCAATTCCATCAATGCAACTAACCACTATACACCATTGCCATTGAAGTCTGGCTACGGGCCTTCCTTGTAATAGTCTAATTAATTACTATATGGCTCGTCACTTTCTGAAAACTTCTATAGGGTCCCTTTGACGCAGTGCGCAGTAGCGGAGCCACGTTTACATCCGAGGAGGGGGGGGGGGGGGGCGAAATATCAGAGATTTCTATCTATCTAGATATCTGCCTGAATTTCTAACCTAGTTATGAGATTTTTGCCCGAAAAATTTGCGCTGGGTTGGAACACTGTCATTCATGGCTCAATCAGTAGCGAGTTGGATTGTCGTCTGATAGGCGATTAGGTGCCGTGGGTTTGAATCCTCCCCAAGGAAAAGAAAAATTATGATGCCTGTGCCTGTCATTTCGGCTTTATACCTAGCACAGAAAGACAAAATAGATAGTAATATATTTATCTAAAACATTTAATCAGTTTTGACAAGATCTTGTTTCCAGATGAATTCTTCCTGGTATTTATTTCCTATATCACAATCCTGACTACAGGTATACACCGCCATTACCCCCCAATCTAGACTCTCCCCTACACTGTCTACATCCAGCTGACACAACAACTGGGGTAACACCTGAAATTCAAACTGTCTAGAACTACCACACGAACACGTCGGAATCTCGCTAGGTGTGTTCGATGCTGATATCCATAACGGTTCTCCGCCGCGATCGAACCGCAATACTTGTTCGGGTTCGTGTCGGATACGATCTTTAAATGCCTGAAATTGTTCATCATCTTCAGATGATTTTGTAGCCATTTTGTCCAATTCTTCTGGGTTCAAACTATCATCTATGTCTTTAGCCGAATCCGAGGACAAAAATTCCCGATATTCTTTCATTTTGTCCTCGTTGCTTTTGACTTTGGTTGCCTGAAAATCCTCTTTTTCTGTCACAAGTTCAAATTCGGGAAACAGAACGTTCGGGTGTTTGAAAGTTAGGACTGTTTCACCGGACGCCGTGTCCCCACCCCCATCATCCTTACAAATAGTTTTATGAATGGCTTTCCAATCTATAGTTTGATGCAGTTTGCTACAGTAGGACGTTTTATGGCAGCGACTGCAGGTTTTAGGACCAGGCGCGCCGCATATCACGCACAATGTCTGATAATCGCGTGCATGTGGGCGCTTATCCGCACTCGTACTCGCAGTAACAGCATCCGTTGGCGGCTCTGGGCTATAAAAATCATTAATACGTGCAAGATGTGATCTGAAAACTCTCAAATTATCATTATTATTCGGTTGACAGCACGCGGGGTTTCTACAAATAAAGATAAAAATCGTTCTATGAAATGTCAATTCACTGTGGTCACGTGGTGCATAAACTTGTAGTAAAAACACAGTTGGCTCGTCACACTTTCTACATTGTAACTCGTCTAAACACGGTAATGGTTTTAATGACAACCACGCCGGCAGTCCACCGACTTTACTAGGAAACTGATAACTCAACAAACACTCACTGTCGACCTCTTCTACAAATCCTAGCTCGATATTTTCACCAACACGTGTTTTAACTTTACTGGACGCCGCCATGTTGGATTTACTACTCAATCGAGTTAATTCCCTTTAATACTAGATAGAGTATGGTGGCTCGGTTGTGAAATGACTTTGATTTTGTATCTCTTGATTGTTTTATGAGATGATTTAACTTTCAACATTGAGCTGATTTGTAGAATAGATTGAAATACAACAAATTCACGAATTCGGATGCTTTACAAAGCAGAGGCGTATTTATTTAAGGGGTGGGCAATTGGGGCATAGTCTTGTCTCCCTCAAGTCTTCTTTGAAGTGAAAATTCAGCCCTGTAAATTCATCTCCAGCCATCTGAAATCCATTGGCTTGATCTCCAGATTTCCGGCCTCAAGGGGTTTGGCCACTTGGATCGCTTTGGAGGGACACCTATCATTTTTGGCCCACCCTCAGGCATTTTCTAGATGTTACAAATCAATATATAAGTCCTAACCTTTATTCAAAAATCTAAATCTGATAAATTTGACAAATTAAATAAAAATTGACAACAATGAGTCTACATGGAAAGTAAAATAAAACGAAATATATTTTATCAAGCTATGGTTTGTTTCCCGGGGGTGGGGGAGGTGTTCATGTGAGCGCCGCTTGGAAATCTTATTCCGATGTTTAGAGACAAAGGGGTGCCGATTTGACAACCCAACTCGGAGTTATGTTCTAAATGTAGGCAATCCCTGCCCTGCTGGCGATACTTCTTCTTCTAGTTGGGGATGATGATCGTTTCAGTGGGAAAAATGATTAAAAAATCCATATCGTAAGAAGCGACTTGTTCTCATTGGTTAGCGACACTAAAAATAATACAAACTCCATCTACCTCGACAGGTATAACTTTCAGAGGGCTAGAAATTAACTTGTTAAGATAGTTATCAGATTTTTTTCAATAGCAGACGACAGTACAGACTGTGATGTTATCGACGTGTATCAATATTTCATTTAACCGTTCAATCAATACAATATCAGATAACTGAACAGTACATTAACACATTTTTGGTGTATGCCCCTCCCCGTGGCTACGGACCTGATTCCATGTGAAGATTCCTAAAAGATAGGGCGAGTATCACTGGCGCCTCGATGAATTATTATATGGTGGGGCCAAGTAGCGGCCATGGAATTATCAAGAGGGGCTCACAGACAATTTTTTGTCTATGAACAATAATAATAGAAATTTAAAATGAAAATGAGACATGCCCCAATTCTTGAGGGTGGGGTTGGAGCATTCCATTCCATCATCCTCGTAGAAAAGTCACTGGGAGCTTGCCTTGCTTGCAAACGCAACATGTCATGGCATATATTGTAGTGTAGGGCGAAAGGTGGATGGGGGTAAATATTGAAGATATTTCCAGAGGTGACAGAACCCAAAATAGTCAAGTCTTTCCCCGTTCACAATAATTCTAGTATTCTAGTCTTGTCAAAATCTATTCATTATTCATTATTCTTTCCAACCTGACAACGTTCATGTCCTTTCTCTAGCTGTACAGGTGCCTTTCATTGAATAGTAACCTGTTTCTTTCAATCACCCTAATCCCTGGGTGATATACATATACTATAGCACATAACATTACACATTTTCAGCGAAAATCGTTGATACTTTTTCTATCGTGGACTTCACTTTGAACATTATTAAAATATCATTTGATAAATAGGAAACTTCACAAAGCATAAATAATGTCACAATGAATTTGAAAATAATCAATATAAGCCTGGAATTAATATTATTCAACAATTATATATGAATATAGAATATTATTTGAATTGTGTTAAATAAACAGAGCGATAGAAAACTTATAGGTTTGAGAAACTCGAGGAATAACAGAACATAGGAGAAATATGAAGCGCATTTCAGACTACGTGGTAAATTAGACGATAAGCAAGATTTTAATTCGTAATTTCAAATTCAAGGTAGGAATATATTTTATGATATTATTTTATTTTGTTTAATAAAACAATAGGTTTGAGAAACAATAGGTCGTCTTGATAATTGATGTAGTCAGTGTTAGTAAGTTAGGAATAACGATATAGAGAGGAAAATGGATCACATTTTGACCGCATGGTAAATTAGCCGATTAGTAAAATTTTAAGTCTTTAATTGCAAATCCTAGGTAGGTTAATTTATTCGTCTTTGGACGATTAATGATATAAACACGACAGTCCAGGGTTACATATACTTTTTATTTCACTAAAGTCAAACATAAATGAATATAATGATAACTCTGAGATATCTATACACACCTACAGATAGATATACACACCTACAGATACCTATACACACCTACAGATAGATATACACACCTACAGATAGATATACACACCTACAGATACCTATACACACCTACAGATAGATATACACACCTACAGTTACCTATACACACCTACAGTTACCTATACACACCTACAGATATCTATACACACCTACAGTTACCTATACACACCCACAGGTACCTATACACACCTACAGATAGATATACACACCTACAGATACCTATACACACCTACAGATAGATATACACACCTACAGTTACCTATACACACCTACAGTTACCTATACACACCTACAGATATCTATACACACCTACAGTTACCTATACACACCCACAGGTACCTATACACACCTACAGGTACCTATACACACCTACACTTGTCATTATATAAAGGTATTGTAAATAGTAATACACAATGCTAGTCTATAGTTTCAATTACTATTTTTTCTGCCTCAAAACAAAATAAACTCAAGAGCTCATGTTATAAGTCGAACAGAAATGTCCATAAATGCTTCTTTGATTGTGTATCTATATAAGATTGCCTCGTCTCAAATCAAATCATATGTATAGCAAATCCACAAGCACTGAATCACTGAATTTTAGTGGAATATTTTACAAATTAGAGCAGTATTGATCCATACACAAATCTAAACCAATAACACGGTAGCTGGTGTACCAATATATATATCTCTCTCCCTTGTCATTCCTGTACCTTATCTAACTGTTATATATAACACTATTTACCTTCTAATACCATTCTATACACAACCTTATTGGTCAATTCCATTGTCCTTTTTCCATTGTCTGTGAATTATATCCTTATTTGGCTCTAAAGGTTCGTGCAAAGTCTATACTATCTTATAATCCAGCAAATTGACAATTATAATACACTATTCCTTTGTCTTCTGTGAATAAACTCCAAATTTGGCTCTAAAGGGAAAACAGTACGTGCATAGTCTAATTATTCCTTTTCTGGTATGTTTTAATGAAATTCGTACGTGACCCATATATCAATATTCAGTTTGTTTTTGGCACGAAGTCTCTTCCGTAGTTTAATTGTTTCATCAAGTAGGAGAATTCTATTCTATGTTTGAATGATTTAGAGGGCGTTCTCATCTTTTTACTTTCGTTTTTCATTTCTCCGAAGTCACGTAGGCAATCAGTTATTTTTTACAAATCAGTTTTTATTCACGATGATTTGTAAAGGAAGGTGGATGTAATTTAATTAACCCCCCACAACGTTTTCCTTTTTTCTTCTGCATTCACTTGATAAGAGGTTTGCCAGTAGAACATAGTTTCGTTGTCGATTCCGCTCTCCAATAGGTGGGGGGAGGAGGGGTGTGTTATATCCCCCCCCCCCCCCCCCCAAAAGTTAGTTAGTAAACAAGACTAGCATTTCGACCAAGACTCCAGACTATAAATGCGGATATGAGGTGTTGACATGGAAAAAGCGTAGGACAATAAACCATTGCCCGGTGTGTTACAGGCTGTAAGGGCCTTCGACAGTTAAAAAGCGAAAAGGGGCAGGCTGATGTCACTGTCCTGGCAAAATTACCCTCATTGCACACTGCATGGCGTTGCCCGTCTTCATTAGCTCACATGGTGCAGAAAAGTAGGACGTAAAACTCCACGTATTTTATATTCTAAGAGGGTCTGAATTTATTAAAGTTCCCAATGAAACATCCCTGACGGCAAGATAAGGATTAGCTGGTACCAGTCAGTGGCAATCCCGAAAGGAATGTTTTTCAGGCAAATATCTCATAACTAGGTTAGCAATTCGGGCAATCTCAGATATATCCCCCCACCCCTTTCGGACGCAAAACTGCCTACGTCACTGCTAATAAGTTATTGAAATTACCAGTATATAGGTTTGGAATCTGTTTGTTTTAATGAGTCTCACACGTCTAGCAAATCGTGGTTTCAATTTATTTTTTTGTCTGAAATGTTCAATGTATAATAATTATATAGATATTGTATTATTGATATACTAGGGGGTATATTGTGATATATGATATTATATGATACTCGATACTGATATATCTATAACCAATAAAAAAAATAGATATTAGGCTAAAGTTCTCATGTACTTAAACGACGAAAGTTTAGAAAACCATTTTTTAAACAAATTGATGTTTCCGGAAAAAACAGTTTAATTAAAAATAGAACAATCTTTCGTTCCGTTTTTTATTAGCTTTTATTTTTAATTTAGCCACTTAAGTTATGATCTAACGACGGCCGTCTTGAACAATACAATACAATACAATACAGTATAGTACAAACATTTATATAGCGCCCTATCTAAAATAAGATACCCGAAGGCGTTCTTCAGTTCTGATTCTGGACATTCTAACCAAACATAGAGTGAACTTGAATATGAAATTTAAGATTTTGTAATATCTTGATCTGAAAATTCACCTTTATATCAATATGTTGTGTATAATAATATAATACTAGTATCTGACATAACGTAGCTTTAATAATAAAGGATATGAAATACACTAGGTGTATTGTAGGTGTTTAATATGAAACCTGACCCGTCCATATATGATATACTGGGAAATATCTTAATATAGAACAATAGAAACTATACCGGAAATATCTTTGACCTGCACTTCAAAATACACTTCATTGCACATTTACTAAATTGAAAGTAGGCTATATTTAAAGGGATTGTAAAGAGGTTTTCTATATTTTTTATATGTATCTTTCTATCGATGAAGAAAGCATTGATTTCGAACAAACCTTTTGTATTAAGTTTTATAAGAGATTCTCTCCTATGGAAGCACTGCCCCAAGTCGCGAGTGGATCCCACGCATTTGAGAATTTTAAGATAAAATGCTGTTAACTGAAAAGTTTTCATTACAATTTTAACCATAGAGAGATTGAAAGATTACAAATAATTCAAACAAAACATTACACCCAAGCCCATGGGTCCAGGAAGTAGCAGAAATGCAATTGTTGTGGGAGGGTCGATGGAAAAGGGGTCTGCCATTGTTTTAAGAAGGGGATCTGCGTGGTAGGCCACCTTTAATTTCAAGGACCCGATACACATAATGTACTATAAGAAACAATGGGTATTTATTATTCGTACTACTGGTGTCGGGACACGAAACGGGGGTCATATTACCAGTAATACAGGTCTATATATAATTACCGTCAATATATAATTAAACTGGCTTTATAATACAATATAATATAGTTCACGATATATGATAGCCATAATCTCAATCACTTACAAGCCTTGTGTCCACACTTCAAATAATATTTGTCAGCATACGCCAGTAGTAGGAGGGTAGTAGAAGTGTAGTAGAAGTGTAGTAGTATATATTCCCAATTCATTACAATACTAATATGTAATACGAAAATGTGATACATGAATATGTGATAAGTGAATATGTGATACATGACTATGTGATACATGAATATGTGATACATGACTATGTGATACATGACTATGTGATACATGAATGAAGATGTGATAAGTGAATATGTGATACGAACTTGTGATATATGAATATGTGATACATGAATGAAGATGTGATAAGTGAATATGTGATAAGTGAATATGTGATAAGTGAATATGTGATAAGTGAATATGTGATAAGTGAAGATGTGATAAGTGAATATGTGATAAGTGAATATGTGATAAGTGAAGATGTGATAAGTGAATATGTGATAAGTGAAGATGTGATAAGTGAAGATGTGATAAGTGAAGATGTGATAAGTGAAGATGTGATAAGTGAATATGTGATAAGTGAATATGTGATAAGTGAATATGTGATAAGTGAATATGTGATAAGTGAATATGTGATAAGTGAATATGTGATACGAACTTGTGATATATGAATATGTGATAAGTGAATATGTGATATATGAATATGTGATAAGTGTGAGAATATATAAATAACACAATGTTGCTGGTTCTATCATTATATTCCAGTAAATAACTGATCATAGGAATAGTAGAGTACTTATACAATACGTAGAAGTGTTTCAGTGATTTTGCTTGTTAACAAAGCAATTTCCCCTACATGTTAGATATGAATATATTCTAGTATATGAATTGCTGTATATACCTGATAATAATAATGGTAGTGTATATACTATATATAATATTATTATAAATTAAATGATAAAACATGTTTACAGTAATCGATGCCACTATTATTCTACCTGACAACAAAACAATTACATGTTATTTACGGCTGATTTGATGAAGATACAAAAATATATGAATTTCAATATACAGCTGACGATAAAGCGAGTAGAATACGTGGATAATCCTACAGTTTTCATTCACCAGATGCCACTTTGCGATTGAGCTAGTTAACGATGATCTATTGAATGTATCATTCTCTAAGTTCAGTATAAAACTGACTGGATTAGTGGTATACTAGAATTATAGAAGACTTATATTATACAATTTTATAAAAACTCACAGTAACAACTATCCGGGCCCCGGACCCCAAAATAACATTGGCCATACATTTATATAAGAGATACTATCCTATAGAAGCACTGGCCTAGGTCACAAGAAGGGACTAAGGATTTCAGCATTAAAATACATCAATTTGATACAAAATTACTAACTTCTGGAGAGATTCAAACATGCAAAGCGATTGTTTCAGGGAGTAAATGATAGGGGAATGAATCTACCATGTACAGGAATATTTGGCAGTTATAAACTAAAATTGGAATATTTATATTATACAATGTATCAGACTGAATAATCCCTGTTTAATTATTCATAATATATTATTGTCTATTTATATCATATTTTCTATTGTTATAAGTCACAGTGACGGATGGAATATATCGTCATTGTTTCAGTTTTATTGTTCATTGTAATAATTTTTGATGATTCAATCATCTGGGAATTCAGTGCAACTACTTTAGATTTGTAATAATTTTTTTTATGAATAATTTAAGATTTTTTACGGATGAAATATTGCATCATTTGTGCAGTTTGGCTGTTCATTTAGCGGTAACATTGATTATCTCTCCAATAATCCAGGAATTCGTTGGTCTATTTCAAATCGACACTAAGTCACCTTGACTTTTATAAAATTAAATGATCTACGATAGCTAATGTTTTGATTCACTTTTGATAAGTGATAAGGGAATTTTATATATATTGCTATAATGGTTTGATCGTGAATGATTCAGGATAGCTGTTGGCCATCTCAAGATATCGGCGAATATACAGATTAAAGACTTATAGGCCAAGTAAGAGATTTGCTGATCAGAAGTGAACAATCAACAACAAGAATATTATACATTACAACGACTTTCTTGCGGGCGAAGTTAGAGGAATCTCTGATCAGTGGTGTCAAATCAAGAACGAGAATATTATGCAGTATTAAAACGATCGAGACTAAAACAAACTGTTTTATATCAAACGTAAAAGGTGGTATATTTATTTTTGGACATATGTACACCATATGTATTTAGATTGGACTGAGAGAAGTTTCTAAACACTGTAGTTGGGTTGTTTTGGTACTAAACATTCTACTAGTCGCCATTGTTTTATATCATTAGATATTGGACTGGAGATATCTTTATTTTGGAGCAGATTTCATAGAACAATCAACAGAACTATCGTTTTTGTATTTGTTATGGTTTATCGAGTATCGTTAACGCTGATGTCGTTAATTATTTGGAAGTAATGAAGTGATTTGTGTGTAGTTTAAATTCAAGAATCAGTTCATTCTTCCAGATCAAATGAATTCAAAGGAGGAATTTTCATAAAACACTAATATTAAGTTTTAAACCTGCTTCAAGAAAACACAGAATAAGAAGTTGGTGAACTGATTTACACTGAGTTCAGGTGAAGTTTTAAAACATTGGAATGACTTCGATTTAATAAGTTAAAGCAGTCGGATATGACGTATTAGAACTGTTAACCATTGAGTTATAAATAATAAACTTGTAAGGATTATGAACCCATGGAAGCTCAAGTATGTGATAGAATAACTTTGTGAAAAGGGAAATTCTTGGGTGCAGACAAACCTACGGGATAAATCTTTTTATTTTTAAGATAAAAGTATTGTGATGCGTCGCCGTCTACAGTATAATGTAATTATCCTAAAACACCATTGTGTGCTTTGAGATTCTCAAGATTCCTGGCGAATTCACTCATTATTTCTTAAAGACTGTATCGTTATCTTCCTTGTGCTTAAAAGCCTATAATAAAACAATTATTTCATAGATTGATACTTCTAGAATATTTATTACTTTCAATATTCAAATGTGGTTCTCATATCGTCATCAGGAATATAATATTATTTATGTATTACATATGTGTTTCTAATATAACATTGAAGGATTACACTTTCGAAACACCTGATGGTACTTTTCTTTGAAGAAGTTCACTACTATACGACGTTTACTCTTGATTTTGACATACCTAGGACAAGATTTTGATTAACAGAATTGTTTTGCTTGTACGGATTTTTTATTTAAGTTGTTTCTTTAAAGACTGAAACTGAAACCTATCTTTATTGATTGGTAGATGACAAGTAATGGTTCGCTGCCACTGGATGGTGATATCACAAACTATGTAGTTGTTGGTAGATGACAAGTTAACGTTCACTTCCAGCTAACTGATATCACAGACTAGGTAGTTGTTGGTAGATAACAAGTTAACGTCTGCTTCTAGCTAACTGATATCACAGACTAGGTAGTTGTTGGTTGAAGACAAGTCAAGATGCTGATATCATAGACTAGGTAGTTGTTGGTAGATGACAAGTTCACGTTCGCTTTCAGCGGATGCTGATATCATAAACTACGTATTTGTTGGTAGATGACAAGTCAACGTTCGAGTCCAGCGGATGCTGATATTGCAAACTAGACCGACCTATCCCCAACTCAATGGTGTTTACACTATTTACTGTTCGTTAATAAGTAATGTAACTATGAAGTATAGAGTACTGTTGATTGAGTATTGTAAATTATCCATTAATAATAGACTGTAATAGGTCATACCGTTTAACAGTCAACCATTCATAGCGTACTGTGAGGAACTATTGCCTAGTTTATAGACGAGGTTTTCTTTAATATTGACACAAACACAATCGGAAAAACTGTTTGTAGTATGCATACATAAATTGTAAGAAATTATCATCTAAGGAGGATGAATGATGACAAAATAAAATCACGTCTTGGAATATCGGCTTATCTTATACACGAGGATTTGATTAAATGATGACAACTTTATAACCGGAAAGTGATATTCTTTACGGAATTTAGAATGATGATATGTTATCCACGAAAGCACAAACACGGGAAATTAATCATAACCGTGGTCGAAGAAATCTTGAAAACTGATGTATGTTGTGTATAGTATATTTGGTGTGTATATGTTGACAACTCAATCGGAAGTGATATTCGGACCTACGTATTCTCACATATAATGAATTAAGGATGGCCACATTGCTGTAAATAATTCACGAAAGCACTGGCATAGACACATGAATGATTTAAGTAGTTTGATTAAGTGATGTTTGAACTTTAAAATATAACTAAGATATATTGATATATTACTTCTGAATTTATTACATACTACGTTTTGAAACACATACAGGTAACATTAATATTAGGATGTTTGAACTGTAAAGTGTATTTGGACTATAATATATACCAGTATAGTGCGACTGAATTAATTGTGAAACGATGCTCATGAAATACCGAATTCCTGTGAAATTAATTTTGGTGTGAAACGCGAATACTGAAATGAATCAAGGTAAGATGATGTTAAATTTTCGTATTTCTGATTTTTAACTACTAGAAAATGAGTTTTATGTTTGAAAGAATGAAAATAACCAGTTATATCTATAAAGAAATCTATTCTCGTTCTAAATATTGTATAAGCATTGTCTTGTAATACCTCCAGGAAGTTAGGAAATCACAGGCTGCTAGATTCTATAACGTATCACGTGTTAAAGATTCGTGATGTTTGATAGTTTTTCTTATCTGATAATATACCATAATTAGATAATTACTTAGTCTAAAACTCACTCCATAGCACGACACTAATAGTCCAGTTATAGTATGAAACTAGCAGATAGTTATTATTGATAGAAGTCAGTCTGAAACCTGCTGATTCTATGCCTAGCCCGGTAGTTGACGAGAGCCGCGGTGGCTCAGTGAGTTAGACGCTAGCTTGCTATTCTAAAGGTCCAGGGTTCAATTCCGTTATAGGTCAAGATAATATCTAGTCGTTCGGATAGAGCAATAAACCGAGTCCCCGTGTGCTACAGGCTGTGCATGTTAAAGATCTCTCGACAGTTGGAAATCGAAAAAGAGCAGGCTAATGCCGCTGTCCTCGCAAAATTTCTTTCAATGTTTACTGTCTTCATTAGCCCAATCAAATGCAGAAAGGTAGGAGGTGAAATATTCGTATCATTTCTGATTGTCGACAAACTTCGATCTTTAACGTCAATAACCGTATTAAAAGCATTAAGTATGACTGTTTTCCCTTCCATAAAAGCAAGACACGACTCAGTAACTTTCGGACCATGTATTACTGTAATATTTAAGAAATGGTCGATAGTTTGGGGGAAATAAATAGGGTTGAAGCTTTCTCTTTCTAATTATCTAATTGATGTAGAGTTTGACTTTTAACCCTTTTAGTGCTGGATGGTTTGTAAACGACCGTCTTATTTCTTTATCCTTGTAAGTTGGTAATCTTCATCGGCGGATGAAAGTCTGAAGTTTTGAATTGGGTTTTTTTCTCCCATTATTCCATTTTCCTTCAATGAGTTCGCTTACTTCTACAGACGGGTAAATCCCAATTAGAATTAAATTACAATTTCGTATCTTTTTTTTTGTTTCCTGATATTTTAATC